AGATTTAATTGTACAGTTGATGTGCTAGATGACCTATACAATATTAATGTTAATATCAGTATAGTGAAGAATAAAGGACTCATTACTAGTACTGCTGGATCTGGTGATGCTACAGCAATGATTATAATTGATTCAATAAGGTCATCTGATGCTAGAGACTATCAATGTATTGTTAATATCACTCAATCTGATATAGACTATGAATTTAATGGAATGGAAACTGCCGAAGTGATACTTACATGTATGATAATTCATATCATGTTTTATTTATTCATTATTTTTATAGTACCAACTCCTTCAGTTATTGTTGAGTATAATGCTACTGGACATTTAGTAAATGGAGAACTAGCAGAAGGACAGTTTCTTGATATTATGTGTATAGCTGACATCAGTCAATATATTGATACTAGTGTTAGTGTTACTATGAGTTGGAGGAGAAATAACGCTGTACTGACCAATGGAAGTGATTTTACTATCAGTCCTCCAGTTATGACTAATAATCAGTACACTGGTGTGTTACGTATTAATAGTTTAAGAGATGAAGTTGATAATGGTGCTAGTTATAATTGTTCAGTTAGTGTGACTCCTAATACTCCTTTTATATTAGCAGGGAATGATAATAGCAGTGCAGTTATATTAACTGTATCAAGTAAGTGAATTGATTATATTTTTATGCCATGTTATGCAAATTTTGGTAGAGTTTGATCTCAATCATGTTGATATAAGTATCAATATTCCTTCTGTTCCTGTTGCTGGTGATGTATTCAATTTATCTTGTGAAATAGTTGTACCTCCTAATTTTGTTGAGGATCTTACTAGTGTCAGATGGACTTACGATTTAGAAGCATCTCAAGATGTGACTAGTGAAAACAATGATGCTACACTAGTACCTGTTGTTAGAAATGGAAATATATTCACCAGTGTACTTACACTTGATCCAGTGAAGACATCTGATGCTAGACAATATTACTGTCAAGCAACAATTCTAGCATTTGGTACTGTAGATCGTACTAACAGAGATTTAACTGTTCAAAGTTAGTTCTAATTGTTATTTAAAGCAATTATTCTCTCTACAGTATCTCCTCCCAGTGTATCAATAGTTGCTGATCCTCCAACTGGTCCAATATATGAGAGTACAGGTTACTTACTAACCTGTACAACTACAGTAAACACTACAATAGTGAATACATCAGTAACTGCTAGTGTAGTATGGACTGATCCTAGTGGTAATGTAATACCAACTAATGAAGCAAGACGTCAAGTGATACCTCCAACTGGTAACAGTCTTGTAAGCATGCTATTGTTTCAACCTATTGATACTGGTCTTAATAATGATGGAGGAACATATATCTGTCAAATGATCATCAATTCTGGTAACTCATTAATAGCATCAAATCAAGCCAGTACTACCCATAATGTTACTATTCAAAGTAGGTTACAGTATTATATAAAAATGATTACTGTTCCTCCTTGGTCCCGTCACTCTCCCCTCTTTTTTACTCTTTAACCAGATCTTCCTCCAATGACAGTAAATTTCTCATCAGTTGGTTCAGTTGAAGTTGGTCAGAGTCTAACTATAACATGTACCATAACAACAGTTGAGAGATTAGTAGTAACACCAATGATTACTTTCATCAAAATGAATGAGACAGATTTTGAGATCCTCTCTAACTTAAGCATTACAACAGATGATACTGGTTCAGATACTAACTATACTTTAATACTGGATCCAGTGAGGTTTGAAGATGCTGGAATGTATACATGTATGGCTGAGTTTAATGTAACTGGTTTTAATAATACCAATGATCCTAGCACTGCTACTTATGATTATCAAGAGGATGGTGACAGTTTTACTTTGACCTTTGACAGTAAGTCAACTATTATGCTATGCTCTACTTAAGTGTGTAAACTGTATGCATCGATTCATAAGCTTATTATAATTGATATTTTGATTTTAAATTTACACTAAATTTTATAGTTCCGCCAGTGATTGTTACTATATCAAAGGAATGTGATGATACATTATATGCAGGGACACCATTCTTCATTAATTGTGACATAATGTTAGATCCATTAGTTACTATACCAGTGACTGTCACTAATCAATGGACACGTGATGGTACTAATGTTCCTATGGGTTCATCTGATGCTACTATTACTGAGGGTCTCAATATGATCAATACATTACATTATAATGCAACATTAATGTTCTATCCATTGGATAATGCTGATGATAGTGGAATGTATACTTGTAATGTTGAAGTGACTGCTGCTTATAATTACTTGTATTTCAGGAATACATCAGCTAGTGCTAATATTTCCATCACAGTTCTTGGTAAGTAATGCTAATGTCACCATCCCTTCTTCTCTTCCATTTTTAAATTTTTCCCTCCCTCCTCTCATTACAGCTACTCCAGTGCCAGTCGTACAGATAGTGTCTATGGGTATTACTGAACCTGGTGAAGAATACATGTTAAATTGTACAGTGACAGTTGTTTATAGACTCATAGTCTCACCAGTGATAACATGGACTAAGAGATCAGCTAACAATGTTATTAGTGTACCTCCAGCTCTTATGAATATATCTAATGTAATGAGTTCTCTTTATTTGAACTTCTCTTCTCTCAATACTTCTGATGCTGGTCTGTATACTTGTGAAGCCTCCATTAATGTTAGTCAGATATCCATGGTAGCAAGGAATAATGAATCTTGGAATTTACCTTTAAAAAGTAAGATCACATCAATCATTTGGAACTTTACCATCATTGTTTCTGTTATAAATCATTTTAGTTACAATTCCATTCTTTTACCTACATGTAAGCCAATCAAAAGAATCTAACTTATTAGCTGGCAGTAACCTGATATTAACATGTGATATCTGTGTTGATCCTAATGTTGATACACCATTCACTGTTAATGTAACCTGGAACATGACTGATCAGCTAATTATAAATAGCAGTGATATATTAAACAATGGCCATCCAGATTCAATGATGCTTGTTGATAGTGATCGTGTTAATATCAGCTCTGTTATCATGAGATCAGGTTTCAATGAGTATAGATCAATTGTTAATTTCACTACATTGAGCAGTATTGAGGATTCAGGAACATATACATGTATTGTTACTATAGTACCAGATCCAGCTTATGAATACGTAATGAGTTCTGATATTAATTATACAAACATAAACTTAACTGTGACTGGTAAGCTTTAATTATTGGAGACCTAATTTAATATTTTAATGCCTGAAATATGTATCACTAACATTTTAACTTTATTTTCTAGATCCAATGATTGGAAGTTTTTCTGCTTCCCCTGACTCATTTCTTAGTCTGGAGACATCATGTCCTGATTCAGACCCATATGATAACTTCACTCTTACCTGTACAGCCACTAAACCAACCATAGTAATACCAAACCTGGTATTAGCATGGACACATAATGGTACAATAGAAACTGGTACTGTGACTACTACTGGAGGAAATATGACTACCACTGTTACTAATACATTGAGTTTTGACTCCAGTACTGCTTCTGATTCTGGTACTTATAGATGTACTGCTAGTATTACTATACTTGATTCTACTGATATTATCACTACTAGTGAGGAAAGTATTGTGGCTATAAAATGTAAGTATAGATGTAAATGTAAGTAATCCTCTCACCTCAATTCCTTATTTAATTTATAGCTCAGAGACTACCTGTTCCTGCTATTAATGTAACAGCTACTCCAGGAACAACTACTGCTGCTATATCATTCATAATACCTAACATTGCCTATACACCTGAAACCTACAGTGTTAAGTATACTGGAGCAATCTTACAAACAACAGAAGCAACTTCTATTATAAGAATGAGCTCCAGCAACATTTCTGCAATTAGCCAAGAATTTACAATCATGTTGGCTGGCCTTGAGGAAGATAACACTTATACATATACAGTTGATTCTACCAATTGTCTTGGTACTACTAGTACTGTAGAGATGAGCTTTAGAACACTTCCAGCAAGTAAGTAAAATACTTATTTGATTAATTTTCTCTAAATTACAGTGCCGGTTGCTTCTCCAATAAATTGTACTAATATAACATTCTTGCCATATAATGTCACACTTACCTGGACTGCACCAGTACTAATAGATCAAAATGGAGCACCAGTTGGTTATAATTTAACATGCATGAATACTAATGGTGTATCAGTCGGTGGATTGCACCCAACACAATCTTCAACAAACACAATGCTCACTATTACTGATGTTATGCCTTTTACTGGTTACACTTGTTCTCTGTCATTTATTAATGTAGTAGGAGAAGGACCCTCTACCCAGTGTACTTTTGAAACAGCTCAAAGTGGTAAGCACAATATTTTGTGGAATACTTTACTAATTATTTGTTGTAGTGCCATACGACTCTCCCCAAAATTTTACTTCCATTCCTGATCAAACTTCTGTCTTATTTTCATGGATAGAACCATCCAGTACTAATGGAGTTATTATTAATTATAACTTAACAGTAACTAATCTGGATGAATCAAAATCAATGTCTTTCATTATTGAAGGGAATCCTAACCAAAAATTTATTGACCATAATGTTAACGATTTTGGTCCATATCAGAATTACACTGCTAGTGTTAGTGCTAGTACAATTATTGGATATGGACCAGTGGCTACTACTGCAGGAAGAACACTACCAGACAGTAAGTATATTATTATGATACATTTATTAAAATACAATACACAGTTCCTAGTTCACCTCATCTGGTAGTGTCTCCAGTTGTCATTAATAGTTTA